AATCGATGACCAGAAATCCAAACTCCCAACGGTCGCAGAACCACCTCCGTCCTCCGTAAGCGCAGGCCTGAGGGTGAGAAGCAGGCCAAGGTGGCGGCGAGACGCGTTGCGGAGCGCGTGCGCCCTTTCGGGAGCACAAAGGGAACATGGGGTTTCCCACACAGGAGGGGGTCATCTAACTGCCGTAGATGCCCGAAGTACGTCGGGGTACCAGGGATTTTCTTTCTAGGGTAGACCTGGTTCCCCGGCTCCTGGTTCCCGAGACGGCATGCGGTTTTAGTCGATTCGAGTCCGACATAGCCACCGGTGGGTGGTATCCCAGGGGATTTCCGCACAGAAAAAAAAAAGGGGTACAGAATCTGCTGTTCTCCTTTGCATGGCATTGATTCTGCTCACTCCCACATTTATGTGCCGATAATTGTTGTTATGTTCGAAAGTGACGGAATTTTAATTTTTTGTTGTATTTGTTTTGTTTTCTATTTGTTTATTTTTTCGTTGAATTTGAATTATTAAGTTCACTTTTTTGTGTAAGTATGAAAATGTGAGTATAGTGTAGGCTTGTAATGTTATTTTATATTTTTAGTAACTTTCTGGTGGTTTTGAGTGTTTCTACGGCCTATCCAAATGTACCGCCAGGTAGGGTCGTTCCCTTCGGGTTGTTCATCCTGACTGATATCGGTTAAACTAAACAAAGGCCGTCTGTATGGACACGCCGATTATGGAATTTGGTACTTTCTTCAAAAGCAGCGGTTCTTTTAAACATTACCATTTATTTTTTTCCATTACCATTTACATTTCTCCGGCTTTTGAGTTCTAATCGTTAAAGAGTTATCTATAGTATATTAAATTAAGTATAAAGTATATTAAATTAAGTTATATATGGGCTATACTCAGAAAAAATGTACATTTGCCATTTGTTAAGAAAGTGATAAGTAACGAAATGGAGAATCAATGTGACGAAACTGATATTGTAAAGCAGGGTACATACTGAACAGAACATGCATAATTAATCTAAATAAAAACATAATATCTCAGAAATCTAAATCACGCTCATCCTACCCGATGGAAATAAGTGAATATTCAAACGATACGAATATATAATTAAGACTAAAGAACCCTAAGCCTTTTTAGTTGTTTAGTTAAGTTCGTGTGACATAGTGCAGTGAGTGCTACTCTTGAAGAACAAGTACAAAGTGTATTTTCATTGGAGTAGGAACCATAAGAAAAGTACCAATGGACGCACTCTTTAAGTATATTATAATTTTTTAGCTAATACATTTAAATTATCATTACGTCTAAAGGCTTGATTGCAATTATTATGGGGGACCGTCCAGCTACAAATTAATGAAAAAAAAAACTCAATTGTATGAATCAGTATGTACTAGTATAATATGCAATTTTAGTTTTAGTAGTAGTTACAAATTATTGTGCAAAACATAAAAATAAATAAGAACAATCATACACATTTCTAAAAAATCAATTAAATAATCGGAGTAATATTGTCAAAATTTAATCGCTCCCTTCCATATTTCGAGCAACGAAAGAAAACAAGTTGTCAAGAACCGTTAAGACCAAATTGAAAAAAATACCTTAGTAAGATAGTAATATCAATATTTCTTAAAAATAATATAATCTTTCAAAATGAAAATCAGTCTCAAATCTCCATAACAAACTAATTTGTAACAAAAAGATATCAACGTTACGTACTGCTCCATTATTTAAATATTTTGGTAACTGAAGAATCAACTTAATAAAATAATAATAATATTGATTATAGTTAAATAAAAATAGAAATAAATATAGAATTATAAGTAAATAAAAAATATCATAAATACTTGACTACTCTGCACAAGTACCCACATTATCATCATCAACAGCCTATAATAGTCCACTGCTGGACATAGGCCTGTCCTTAGAAAGGAGGTTTTGGCCCTTTTTACACTTCTGTTTCCCTAAATTAATGTAATAAAATGTTAATAGATAATAATTAATTTTTCAAATTAGAGTAACTTCGTAAATTCAGCTTTACAATTTCTCAGTTTCGTAACATAACGCAATATAACTAAACTGAAGACGAACTCTGAGAAATTATAACCCCGAAAAATAATTTTGTTAGTACCACTTATTGTATACACAATAACTGAATTTATTTGTCCATATATTATTTTAACTAAGACGTGGGCATGAAATAGTACAATCAATCGTATATGCATACCGAAATTCAAATCGTTTATCACCCTGACAGTATTTTTTCCGTGTACGGATGAAAACAAAATGACCTCTGTATGTACGGTGAATTATAAAAATGCAGCAATGTTGTCAATATTAGGAAACTTATTTCCCTTCAGTTTCGAACAACTGCGTTCAGAATTATATGCACGTAACTAACACTGAGTAACGAAATGTAATAATTTTGGGACTACATTAATTTGAATTTTACTAATTTTATTAAACGTTCTAAAGAATAAATCGTATTACTATTTAAATGATGGACTAAAAGAGACCTAAATGACTACAGTCAATCTTATGTAAGTCGACTAATAGTCGTAACAATTACTCTTTTATTAAGAAAAATCGTTATTGGGACATTAATGATTTGACGAAAATATTATATTATTTATAAAAAAAAGATCCTATTAAAGACTAAACATTAAACATGATTAAGAATATGTGCCATAATATTCAAATTTTAAATCTGCCATTAAAGTAGTGGGACAAAAAAAAGTGCCAAATGTACATTTTTTTCTGAGTATGACCCAAATAGTATATTAAATCGTTAAAGGCGCGATTCAATCATGTATAAAAGTTCAAAAGAAATTGTTTTTAACGATTTATTAAATTTTAATACAAAATAAAAAAAAAACAATCTTCAGGATTCTTTTTCTTAGCGATGGCTAAGTAGTGCGCTCTAGAGTTTGAGTATATGAATAAACTCACTAATAATAATAAAAACTAATACTGTAATACTTTGTCGTGATTATTTGCTTTGTGGTTTTTATTTGTCAAAATGTTACCATATATATTTAGATAGGGGATTCAATAAAATATCATTATTAAAACCATCATTATTAATAATATAATCTGTATTATCGTACTCTTATGTTGCAGTAATTTATAAACAGAGTACTTTTACATACATATATAGATGTATATGAAAATAGAACTTATTTATTTATTTTACAATAAATAACAAAATAAGTATAAGTATAAGTTTATTTTCTCACCATAATTACAGGATTTACATTTAGATACATATCGAACGAAAATAAAGGGACCATGGTGGGCTGATACCTGAACTAGGAATGTTCCTGTATCTCAGGTTATCAACCCTCCACCCCATATACACAGCTGTCTTATATCTAAAGTAGAACCTTAAAATTTAAATACATACAAATCACTAGTTTATTAGGTATACAATAAAAATATAGGAGGGTAGATCATAAACGATGCCAATAGCAATACTTCGTTTCTTGTTTTGTGTTCAACGACAGGATGTGTGGTACAAGACATGAGTTGCTGACTTTTACGTGTCGCGATCACTTACTACGCATAGAATTGTTTTCCAAACTCAATTTATATATGTCTATGTTTTAAGATACACAGTATACTATATTGTAATATTATCAATTTTAATTTCATCATAGACTTCAAACTTTAAATAAATAATATCTTAAAAGTTCATGTAATTTTCTTTTGTAGTGTATTGTGTAATGGGTGGTGACTGTGTGGTGTAATGGGTGTTAATTTAGTGCGTTGTGTAATTATATGTTGCACACGAAGGAAGGATAAGTGTTACGCATGTCTGTGTATTAGTAAAATAATTATAAACTGTTTCCGCCACTTCAAATAATAATTTTAAGGATATCTTCTGTTGCACGATAACCAATCGCTTTCAGGCTATTTTTCAATGTTACTTTTAGGGTTGGACGGTTCATATTAATGATTTGATTCAGCTCATTGAAATGTCTGTACAAAAAGGGGCCAGTATAGGCCAATTGTCGTTGCGCAAAACCAGATTTAAAAGCGGGCACGTAGGTGCGCATTCTTCTTTTGTTTAGGGGTAATTGCGATGGTATAATAGTTTTATGGTAGTGGAGAACCGTGTGCTGAATAAATAGTTGTCTGACCGTTAAGAGATTGGCTTCCTCATACAGTAAATTCGTTGGATATTTCCTGGGCCTACGCAGCATAACTTTGATAACAGCCCTTTGTGCTCTCTCCAGCTCCATTAGGTGTGTCGCCGCAGCTCCACCCCATATGGGTATACAATATGTCAATAGAGTTTGGCCAAGAGCAAGGTATATCTTTGTAATAAGGTTTTTATCAGCAGAATCTCTGAGAATTTTAAAAATGTGTAGCAATTTACGAACCCGTTTACTGAGAGCTGCAATATGTGGTTTCCAATTTAGATTTTTGTCAATTGTAATTCCAAGGTATTTGTGGGTTTCTGCCTGGGTAAGGTTAGGACAGTGACAAAACATGGCTGTGTTAGTATCTTTTTTACAATGCAGGACGTGGGCAGTAATATTGAAATCAGTAGGTGGTTTCATGACTTCAGAGATTCTAAAACAAATGTATTTAGTTTTCGATATGTTGATTGTGAGAAGGTTCTCATCGAGCCACTTAATAATAGTTGTAAGACCAGATTCAGCCGATTTCCTAACTTGCGGCCATGATTGACCTCGAAAGATGAGAGCCGTATCATCCGCAAAAGCCAGTGAACTGCAGTTATCGATTTTAAGTTTACACAGACCATTGACATAGGCCAAGAATAGCGTAGGACCAAGCGTACTTCCCTGCGGTATGCCATAGGCAACGGGAAGACTGGAACTAAACACATCAGCTACTTTTACCATTTGGCTTCTGTTTGACAGGTAATCACAGAACCATTCCAGTGCATTTCCCCGTACACCAATATTTATAAATGTTAATAGAATAAGTAAAAGCGAGTTAATTTTATTCAGGTTCAGAATTTAAATAGAAATGTTCTTTCATTGCAGCTCTGCGCACATCTTACACGGGCGGTACTCCAAACAACCTTCCGCCCCTCAGCTTTCACTCCGTCCACGGGAAGAATGTCAGAGTTTCAAGAGACGGTTCCATGGCCCGACGCGTGGAGTCCTTCTGCAAAGGCATCACGTTCAGTGCAAGGCCGGTTAGAGTCAATGAGAAGGTGAGTAATGAAATAATAATTAATGTCCCATGCGTAGGAATATCAAATGTTCGATTAATTACCAAAGATACTTATCTGATATGATTTAAGTCTGCTTACTTAGTCTCCCTTACAAGTCCTGAAAGTAGTAGTCCTGCTACTGGGTTCTGTTACGGATCGAGCAGATTTGTTTTCCCTGTACAGTTTTTCAATATGCTCAGGCTACAACGCACCATGTTTTAAAAAAAAAACGCATTTAATAAATATTTTGCATGTCCTTCCATTTTTTCTTTCTAGGTCTGCCTTCGCTTCGTCGAGATCTCAAACAGATGGGAAGGTGGCATCAGATTCGGATTCACCAACCATGATCCTGCTGCCTTAGCCCACTCGTTACCCAATTCCGCAAGTCCCGACTTAACCGAGAAGCTCGGCAACTGGGCCCAGCCTTTAAACAATAGATTCATGGAGCAAGACAATATCGTGTACTACTATGTAAATTCCTCTGGTGATATCCATTTCGGTGTAAACGGAGAAGACAAAGGACTATTTTTCTCAGGAATAGACACAAGGAGTCCACTCTGGGCCCTAGTAGATGTTTATGGTAACTGTATTGCTGTCCAATTCGCTGACCCAAGAGCCCTCAGCCAGATTAAGAAACACAGTCCTATGGAAGAAGAAAGACTAGTCGGAAGCATGAGATCATTGACTATAGAGGAATCGTTACCTCCACTAAGATATCAGAATCCTTTAGTACCTCTAAGTCTGCATAGGACTAAAGGCAGAAACGTACAGTTTATCAATGATAGAGGTGTCGCAGCGAGAGCTGATGCCGAATTTTGCCAAGGATATGTATTCACAGCTCGTCCAATGTGTCTAGGACAAACCATTGTTATCCAGATTTTGGCCACAGAATCAGCCTACGTTCGCAGCTTAGCTTTTGGTCTAACATCCTGCGACCCTGCAACTTTAAGACTGTGCGATTTACCTGATGAGTCTGAGTTATTATTGGATCGACCAGAATATTGGGTAGTACAAAGAGATGCTGCTAATGCTTTAAGAACAGGAGATGAACTGGCTATCACATTAACTTTAGATGGAGAAGTACGCGTCAGCAGAAATGGATGTACTGCAGTTACAGTAATGCATGTGGACCACACAGTAAGACTTTGGGCGTTTGTGGATATTTATGGAGCTACACAGAAAGTGAGGATGTTGAGTACGCAAGTGCCTCAGCCAGCGCAGACCCCTCCTCAACAGCTACGCGTGTTGACTGGTTCAGCAGCTCCGATTAATGCCGGTGCTGGTGGCACAGTCCAACTGCCTAATGGACACTCCGAGCCTCCGAGACTCGTAGAGAGGTTACCTAGTGGCCCATCCACGAGCCGCCACCAACCCATCTATTCAGTAATAGGCGAAGAAAACTTAACGGGGACCGAGTGTACTATATGCTATGAAAATCCAATAGACAGTGTTCTGTACATGTGTGGGCATATGTGTATGTGTTACAGGTGTGCCGTCCAACAATGGAGAGGCAAGGGGAGTGGCCAGTGCCCCTTATGTAGAGAGCAAATCAAAGATGTTATACGTCCATACAAGTCCTGATGTGTTTAGAAATGTTTCTGTAAATATCTGCTGTAGTATAGATAAAATTAAATAAAATATACAGCAAAGTTGACGTCATTCTTAAGATTGTCGTGGTTTCCTTTATAAAAGCTGTAATAAATAACAACAACAATAACAGTAAACACAGTTAAAGATGTATACCAAGTTCTTCCAACATTCATACATAGATCTGTACAGTAGTAAATAAAGACAACAGTAAATACAGAGATGTATTCCAAGGTCTCACCCACAGTTGTACATAGATCCGTACAGAATAAGAATAAAAAAAACTCTATTTGTCTTTTTACATCGAGTACTTAACATTAATAACAATGCTTTAATAAAAATAATACTTGAAAGACAAAATGGTCTTGGGCTCAGCGTGTGGATGACAGTGCAATGCACGCCATCCGCTGTTATTCTGCCCAAGCCAGTCATGGTTAACAGTCTTAGAATAAGCACAACGACAACACCCAGATCACCCGACCACGTTGGTGTACGTAAACATTATCACTCCACACTCCGGTAACAATGCAATTGTTGCTATGGATTTTACAGTAGTTTAGTAAAGTTAACATAACAGTAAATTACGAGTATATGAATAGATTGCTGTTATGAACACAGATCAATGTATAAAATTATTGAGTAGCCGCCTCAGATTGCCTTCTTCGTCTTCTCTTCTCGTAATAGCGAAGTTTATTCTACTTCTTTCCTCTGTCTGTTCACTCTTTTGAACTCTGATTAAATTATGACTTTAATTTACTGAATAATTTGTTTTGAAGTTACGCATGAGACCGCCGATGAGGCTAACCAATGTATATAAAGTAGTATGCCAGGAATAGTATACTCTAACTTCCCAGAATTAGGAGATCATAGCGTTTTCGTAACACAATAATTAGGACACTATATCAATAGAAAAAATACTTTTACGAATAACTGAATGATTCCAAATTCAAATGCCTTAAAAAACCGAGTGTCTCTACATCTATGTGTGAGCTTATTAACTACATTAACAAACCTTGATTACAGATGGCGTTAGTTATACTTTTATAATTCATTTTCAATTTCTACCAGAGACATCGGTTTTTGGATAAGAGTGAAGAGAAGAGGAGTTGAAGAGAGTGTAGAACCACTGCCAATCTCCCTTTCCCTTAGCCAAGTAAAATCGAAGTCAACAAGTTGTCAGCTCCACTGGCTCCTAATAAAGAATCGATTTTATAACGTCCATGATGCTACGATTGGCATTAAAATATTCAACATTATTTATATCATGATTTTAAAAATAAGTTACCTCAACGGGCTAATAAATATTTATGGTAGAAATTTCTAGTAAACGTAGCAATTTGCATAGCTACGAGTATTTCTTAGTTGTATTTACTACACTACTACTATTTCATAAAGTGATTGGCAAAGAGGATAAAGAGTTTATTCTAATTACCGTGGGTTTCTAACAGAAGTAATACTAGCTGATACCCGCGACTACGTTCGCCGCCGCCGCCGCCGCCGTAGTGGGTTCGATTGCCGGGCCGGGCAAAGGTTTATAGGGTTTCTCTGAGATAAAAGAATATCTTTTTTTTAAGTTTCGCTTCTGCCGTATGTGAAGTGCACACACACTTAAATAAAATAAAGATAATAATAATAAACATTTATTTATCTTTAAAGGTTACACAAACCCTATACCAACCCGTCTGGCCAGCGTGGTATAGTAGGCCAAAACCTCCTTTCTAAGGAGAGGCCTATGTCCAGCAGTGGACTGTTAAAGGCTGTTGATGATGAAAGGTTACACAATTGTTACATTGCCTTTTTTTACGTGTGGTAACCCCCTCCTGCCGTCACCCCACCGGGGTTTGCGGCAGGGTGGTGTGTCGGAATCGGACAGACTAAAACCACACAGTGTGCCACTCTGGGCCTGTAATAGAAAGGATCCGGGAACTGCTGTTATTGAGACATCCGAACCCCTCCTAGCGCCTGCCGGCAAACGGCGCGGGCCCCACCTTACATGCGGTACATTCTCTATTTAGGCGACGTCCGGCACACGCGGACGTAGCGGGCTCGCGGCTGGCGCGTTATGACGGGTGGAGGGGAAAACATGTCCCGCCTATGATAGGCGCAGCCTGTATCGTGGTTATCAGTGAATACGATTAACTAACGCCTAGGACTTAAACTACAGTGTGTGTGTGTATATGTGTGTGTGTATATTTTTTGTATATATTTGTGTTGTCTTAAGCAAAGAGCAAAAGACCTAAAGCATGTGAGATGTATAAAAGATGAAGAGGGGAGAGTGTTGGTTAAAGATGATGATATAAAAAAGCGATGGAAAACTTACTTTGAAAAACTTATGAATGAAGAGAATAAATGGAGCGGAGTGCTAAAGCATGTGGATGTGAATGTCGGACTGGTGAACGAGATTAGTATAGATGAAGTTAGATTGGCAGTACGAAGTATGAAAAATGGAAAAGCAGTTGGCCCCGACGGTATACCAGTGGAAGTTTGGAAGCTACTGAAAGAAGACGGATATGAGTGGTTGACTCTATTCTACAATGTGTTGTTGCTTGGAGAGGTAATCCCAAAGGAATGTGTCAAACCCAACTCGTACCCATTTTCAAAAATAAAGGAGATTTTCAAGAATGCAACAACTATCGAGGAATAAAGCTCTTGTCACATACTATGAAAGTCTGGGAGAAAGTGACTGAGAGAAGAATAAGAGATGAGAGTGAGATAACCCAAAGTCAGTTTGGGTTTATGCAAGGACGCGGGATAACAGATGCTATATTTGCAATGCGCCAACAACAAGCGTTTGTGGATCTCGAGAAGGCATTTTTTTTTTTTTTTTTTTTTATTTTATAATGTTCATGGCACAAGGTTACAGTTCATGTAAATACAGTAACAGTGAAGAAAACCACAGGTGGTTTATGTATCACTGCCATCACTCGCTTTGTATGTAGCGTATGATAGCGTACCCCGAGAGGTTACGTTTGTGGGTGTGTGTTGTGGTGGGCTTTGAAAGTAGAAAGAGTGCCTGTTAAGTATGTAGAATTGATTCGTGCTTTGTACAGAGAGTATAGCACTCATGTAAGGTCGGTCACGGGAAACACTGATCAATTCAATGTCTCTGTAGGCGTGCACCAGGGATCAGCTCTGAGCCCATACTTCTTCCTGTTGATAATGGATGCTCTGACATCGGACATACAGGAGGAGGCACCTTGGTGCATGCTATTTGCAGATGACATTGTGTTGGTCGGTGAAAATGTGGTTGAGGTCCAGAGCAGACTGGGAAAATGGCAACAAAGGCTGGAGAATGTTGGCTTGAAAATCAGCAAAACCAAAACTGAGTATATGTTCTGCGGTCTCGGCGGTCTCTCCAGTCCTGAAACCATCTCGCTGGATGGGATAGCGATAACAGCCTGCTCTAATTTCAAGTACCTCAGCTCCCTCTTACAATGTGATGGCGAGACTTATCGAACTGTACAGCATTGAATCAATACGGGATGGATGAAGTGGCCACAGGTAACGGGAACAATTTGTGACCCCAGTTTCCCCTTAACACTGAAGGGACAAATTGAAATGAAATGATATGAAATGAAATGATGAAATGATATTTATTTCTGTAAGTAAATCTTTTCAGATATTTTTACAAGTCGGACTTTATAGCTAGAAGGAGCCGGCATTTCCTAAGACTCACTCTGGGAAGAAACGCCGAAACAAACCACAGAGGTGTCTTTTTTTTTTTTTAAGTCCGTAAACAAAGTTAAATAAAACTGTGCGAGTACAGTATAGGGTCTGGATAGGCCTTTTGAGGAAAGAGACGTACAGACGGCATACAGGCTCCAGCCATCGTGTAGCCCAACCGATATTGGTCAGGATCAACGACCCGAAGCACGACACTACCGCCAGCAGGACATTTGGGTAGGCCGTAGAAACACTCAAAACCACCAGAAAGAAATAAAATATGAATTAACATTACAAACCTATACTGTACTCACATTTACATACTTACACAAAAAATAAAAAAATACTATACAGTTCAAAGTCAACGAAAAATAAAATACGAAATACACCAAAAAAATAATAATTAAATGTCCATCACTTTCAAACTTAACAACAAAGATGTCTACGTAAATGTGAGAGTGAGCAGCATCAATCCCAAGCAAATTTGTCGTCTAAATAATCTGTAATAGTGTAGTAAGCCTTTTCACATAGTTTTAGCTTTACTAAAGACTTAAATTTATTAATACTTAATTCATGGAATTTGCTTGGCACTTTATTGTAAAATCGCACACCCTGACAACGAAAAGACTTGCTTACTTTTTGTAGTCTAGTGGTTGGTAACACGAGTTTATCTTTATTTCTAGTGTTTATTTTATGCATGTCGCTAATCTTTGTGAATAAATGATTATTTTTCTTTACATACACTAAATTTTCATATATATATTGAGATGCGACTGTCATGATACCAATTTCTTTAAACTTATCCCTCAGTGACTGCCTCTAACTAAGATTATAAATTGCACGAATAGCTCTCTTTTGCAACACAAAGATACTTTGAATGTCAGCAGCATTTCCCCACAACAAAATACCGTATGACATTACACTATGAAAATAGCTAAAATACACTACGTCTAGCTGTTTCTACATCGGTTAATTGACGAATTTTGTAAACCGCGTATGCTGCAGAGCTGAGTCTATTCGACAATCCGTCAATGTGTGGGCCCCATTGCAATTTAGAGTCTAGTGTTATACCTAAAAACTTGGTGGTGTCCACAAGATCCAACTCCTTTCCATTTATTAGAAAATTGGTCTTTACCTGCTTAACATTAGGTGTAAAAAATCTAATACATTTCGTTTTAGTCTCGTTTAAAAGTAAATTATTAACATTAAACCAGTTCACAACCTTAGAGAGAGTGCCATTCACGTCATCAGTTACTGATTGCTGTCGTTTAAGTTTAAATAACAGTGAAGTGTCATCCGCAAATAACACTATCTCCTGATTATTATTTATCACATTAGGTAGGTCATTTATGTAAACAAGAAATAAAAATGGGCCGAGAATTGAGCCCTGCGGAACCTCCATAGTGACCAGAGACCCCAGGGATCTCTGACCATTAACTTCCACTCTCTGGATCCTATTACCCAAATAAGAGATAAGAAGATCCAAAGCAGTGTTCCTAATCCCATAGTAATGCAATTTCCTGATTAATGTTTCATGAAAAACGCAGTCGAATGCTTTAGATAAATCACAAAAAACACCCAGGGCATCCTGTTTATCCTCCCAGGCACTAAATATATTTTCCAAAAGTTCAACACCGGCATCACTTGTCGAGCGACCTCTTCTGAATCCAAACTGTTTCCTGTGTAGAATTTTGCTTGCACTAAAGTGAGTTTGTAGCTGATCCAGTATAATCTTCTCAAAAATTTTAATGAAAGTAGGCAACACTGAAATTGGTCTATAATTTGTAGGATCAGACGTGCTACCCGCTTTGAATAAGGGAATGATCTTACTATGTTTCATCAAATCAGGAAATACACCACATTCAATGCACCTATTGAAAATTAAGGCCAACTCTGATGCAACTACGCTAATAATTGATTTAGTTATTTGTACAGAATTACCCCAAAGGTCGGCGGTTTTCTTAACACTAAGAGCATTGAACGTTTTCATTATATCTCTATCAGTGATACAACTAAATCTAAACTCAGTATTACAAATTTTAATATTCTCTTTCAATAAAGATTCTGCAATAGTGGGGGACGAATTCAATGATTCTGTTATTGAGACTGGAATGTCTGTGAAAAATTTTTCAAAAGCTGTGGCGACATCTATATCGGAATTAATTACTTTATTATCAATTGTAAGGCTGTAATTATTACATTTGTTCTTTGCTTTACCAGTTTCTGTATTAATTATTTCCCAGGTCATTCTAATTTTATTTGAACTATTACTAATTTTAGACCTTAAATAGTTAACTTTTGCAGAATAACAAATTTTTTTAAATAAATTAGAATATTGTTTGACATATTCTCGAAATTCCATACTAATATTATAATTTTTTTCTTCATAAAGCTCATAAAGCCTTGTTCTACTTTTCTATATACCTACGGTGGCCCATTCACTGAAGGTTGTAGCACCTTTAACTGACAACTTCTTAGGAGTGAAAGTTGATTTAAATTCTGAACAATACATGTTAAAAAAAGCGTTATATAATTCATTAGGATCATCACTATAACCCAAGCGGGGTAGTTTACTAATGAGTTTATTTTTGAAATTTTCCATACGAGTTACAGTTTTAGGTACTACAGTAATATCTCGTGTTACCACCATTCTGTTTTTCATAGCAAAAGCACACATCTGTCCACAGTGATCAGAATGTAGTTTGTTTATTACTCCTTTGGTGTGTGGCACTATGTCAGTAAATATATTATCTATGCACCTGGCTGTGGTGGCTGTGATCCTAGTAGGCTCCAAATTTATTTATAAAACTATTATCAGACCTGCCGTCCTGTATGGTTCTGAAAGTTGGCCCATTAAGAGAACGGATGAGAGACGCCTGAACGTAGCCGAAATGCGAATGCTGAGATGGATGTGTGGTGTGACTCGGATGGACAAGGTTAGGAATGAGTATATACGAGGGAGTCTGAAAGTAGTGCCACTGGATGAAAAGTTAAGAAGTAATAGGTTATCTTGGTATGGACATGTCATGCGGAGGGATGAGGAAAATATGGCGAAGAAAGTTTTAGGTATGGGAGTTGAAGGGTACAAAAGAAGAGGCAGACCGAAGAAAAGGTGGATGGACTGCGTGAGTGAGGATGTGCCTAGGAAGGGAGTAAACAGTGAGATGACGCATGACAGAGTAGAATGGAAAAATCATATATACTGCGCCGACCCTAAATAAAATTGGGATAAGGGTAGGCAGATGATGATTTGTGTTGTCTTAGTTTTCACCATTACAATTATAGCTGTAGAATGCCCTATCAACGAGAAATGGCTTAAATAACCTTTTAAACTGATCTATGTTAGGGCATCTCAATATGATGCGTTAAATGATTATAAATTCGAGGCGCCATACAAAATATGCTGTTGCTAAATTGTGCTGTTTTGTTTGATGGAAAACATATTCTGTCATTATTACGTTTACTCTGTAGGGGCACAAATAAAGAAATATGAGTAATAACAAACCGTCTACCTCATATACATAAAGGCATGGAAGCGTTAACATTTTCAAACTAATAAAAAATGGTTTACAACTATCCGTCTTCTTTAGATTCACAATGGCCCAAACACACCTCTTTTGGGCTCTAAATATTATATCCTCTCTACAAAGTTACCCCAAAAGATGACACCATACCTTAGCACTAGCTCTACATAACCGTGGTATGCAGTGATGACAGCAGTCTATATTTACAAAAAAAAACGTTTTTAAGTATTTTATCAATCATTCTGGGTTTCATAGTACAAGCTCTGTTTAGTTCGAAACTAGATTCGATTCGATTTCGAACTAGGCTTTGTGTGGCAGATGTCCGAAAATAACCCAGATTTTAACCCAGAAAATGATTAATAAACAATTAAGGCGAGCGTATTCGTGTGCAAAAAAATAATCTACAATAAAGTAAGAAGGGGTTGGCAATTCCCTAAATGGCTTTTAGGGATGTATGGCACTGCTGTGCCGTTCTTTTATTTTTAACTTGACTTGACTTGATCGAAATACTGCACTGCTAGTGATTAATAATAAAAAAAAAACAACATAAAATATACAAACACACTATGTATTTAAAAAAAAAGTAAGTTTTCAGACATGACGCTGTTGATCCACGGCAAATACTGCGCTATATCGATAAACAACGAATGAGGTGTGCAAGATGGCTCTGTACCTAGGCACTTCGACTCTAAGGAGTATACACCACGGAGCCTCCAACTGCCCTCGTTCGACAAGTAAAAACCTCCTCCAGAGCTCAAAGCTCTCGTAAAATCTCTTGTACAAAGTGTTTTCTCCAGAGTTCTATTGTTGACTCTACAATCATCCGGCTTCACTACATACATTTGTAAACGTTCTGGGCTTCCGATATCACCACTCCATCCCACAAAATATCCACGGTCGCCAACAACTCGTGTAACTTCTGAATATCCGTTCCACAGGCAAGCTGCTCTTATATATGCTTTGAACTCAACCGTTTCATTTAACTTAAGTATCGCAATATCATTCTCAGAATATAAGGCATTATACTCCGGATGTACTGAAGTAGAGATTACTGTTCTGGTAACAGCGATTGTATCAGATATTTTCTTTGCGTTGTACAATCCTAACTTCACCATAATTTTGTTTACTGATGTTGGTAGGCTATGGGCAGTGGTGATTACATGTTTGTTGGATATAAGAGTACCCCCGCAAATATAAGTCGACTTTAAAATGGTGTATATAGCAACAGGCCAAGGGAAATCCCCTATAGTATAACCATGACCTGTGTCATTACATCTACTGTTGGATTGAAATGTATCTCGCTCTGGAGTTTGGGTGATAATTGGTTTTAGAGTTTTAGTCTTGCGATCACGTTGATTACTGAGCGTTTGATTTTGAGTCAGCTGATAAATGGGGATATTTCTCTCTTGTTCCTTATATGTTGTCTGATCTACAAGTGGTTTGTATAACCTAAAACAAAATTTTTATTATTTACTTAGAAAACAATGAAGTTGTCGCATTTGAAATTTTGATAAATGGAACAGAGATTTAAAAACTTGGACGTTATTCTACGCCGACGCCAGTCTGAAAACATTGTATAAAATAATAAATATAAAAGAAGGGAGACCCGAAAAACAGACAAGGCTCTCGAATAGACCGATGACTAAGGGTATTGATTCGTTTTCGTTGCTTTTGGAAGCCGAATAATTCACTCTACAGTCTTCGTCCTCTTTAGTGACGTGAACGTTTTCTTTCGTTTTTCAACGTTGAATAAACTGTAGCACTCCCGCTTTGGTTCTGCGAATTCTCCTCTGTAAAGAAAACTTATCTGCATCTAGGAATGGGTAAGTTACGATAACTGCCGTCGTGATGTTTGCTGTCTTTTCCTCCCCCATGGTTTCTGAAAGAAAGGCTGTCTTGGGAAGTTGAATAACTAGTCTTAAGTACCAGCGTTTGATTCATTTTAAGCCTGGTACGTTGCGCGGCATGTCGTCTACCTGGTTTTGCGTAGTTAGTATCCATCTCAAATCTTGGGGTTTGGTGACATCTTCTATTTCTACCAAGCGAAGTGCAACGCCTCTTACCCATTGATTTAGATGGGCTACCCTTCTCATTTATTGGCTGTAGTATAAGCAGATAGTATAGGTTATGTCAGTTTGCTTATACACTATCTGAACCACTTTGCTGTGGACTACCCTTTACCTGCTAAAAGCAGGAAAATGGTTCGTATTTTAGTGGATGTATTTTATTTAGGTACAGTTTTTTATTGGCTATCAAATATACCACAAATATATTCTAGGAGAGCATACAGGCTACATTTTGTTCTGTAAAAACATCGGATAAATTCACAAAATTTTAAATATAAAAACGGATTATTACTTTTCAGACATCACGCTGTTGATCCACGGCAAATACAGCGCTATATCGATAAACAACAAATGAGGTGTGCAAGATGGCTCTGTACCTAGGCACTTCGACTCTAAGGAGTATACACCACGGAGCCTCCAACTGCCCTCGTTCGACAAGTAAAAACCTCCTCCAGAGCTCAAAGCTCTCGTAAAATCTCTTGTACAAAGTGTTTTCTCCAGAGTTCTATTGTTGACTCTACAATCATCCGGCTTCACTACATACATTTGTAAACGTTCTGGGCTTCCGATATCACCACTCCATCCCACAAAATATCCACGGTCGCCAACAACTCGTGTAACTTCTGAATATCCGTTCCACAGGCAAGCTGCTCTTATATATGCTTTGAACTCAACCGTTTCATTTAACTTAAGTATCGCAATATCATTCTCAGAATATAAGGCATTATACTCCGGATGTACTGAAGTAGAGATTACTGTTCTGGTAACAGCGATTGTATCAGATATTTTCTTTGCGTTGTACAATCCTAACTTCACCATAATTTTGTTTACTGATGTTGGTAGGCTATGGGCAGTGGTGATTACATGTTTGTTAGATATAAGAGTACCCCCGCATATATAAGTCGACTTTAAAATGGTGTATATAGCAACAGGCCAAGGGAAATCCCCTATAGTATAACCATGACCTGTGTCATTACATCTGCTGTTGGATTGAAATGTATCTCGCTCTTGAGTTTGGGTGATGATTGGTTTTGGAGTTTCAGTCGTGCGATCCTGTTGATTGCTGAACGTTTGATTTTGTGTCGGCTGATAAATGGGGATCTTTTTATCACGGTCATAATAACTTGGCTGATCTGCAATTGGTTTGAACAATCTGAAACAAAGAATCATCAGTTAGAAATATTAATTGTAGTTGACACATTGGAAATAGGGATTAATAATAACAAAGATTTAAAAAAACATGACGTTGTTCTACGCCGGTACGTGAGAGCAAATATTGTAAAGAATAATATATAGACCCTAGATAAGTAAGACCCTAGAAACAGGCAAGATGTTCAAATAGGTGTTTATGTTACCGGTATAAGATCCTTTTCGTTGCTATTAAAGGCCGATTAATTTGCTCTACGCTATTCGTCCTTTCCCCTTTAAACAATTTCTAGATAAGTGCTCTCGATATGGTCCTCCAAATTCTCTTCGACGAATATCTTTCTAGAAACGGGGATCTTTCTAGTACGTGGCGCTAGCTAATCGTCGCGGCACTAGCTGTCTTTTATCGCCCCGACTTATTTCTTAAAGTAGTTTCAGTTGAACTCTTCTGGCAACTTGTGCGTCGCGTCGTCACTCAGGTTTTGCGCAAATGGTATCCATTTCCAATTTTGGGATTTAGGGAGATGCTCTATTTTTACCAAGCAAAGAGATAACGCCTTTAATCCTTTCCTGAAGAAAGGGGCTACCTTTAGTATGAATATTTGAAATGATTATCAAATCTTTAGAATGTCTATAGGGAACTTAATTTAAAAATAACACGGAATCGCAAAGGGAGTCAGTAACAATGACCAGTCAAATGATATCCTTATAGCCAAAGTACACGAAGTTTAGTCAATTTGATCTCTGACACACCATTTTCGTATTTTATCGCAACCTCATTTGTGATCGTGGACTGCCTTTATTAAGAGCAGGAAATGATGTATTGGGTGTTATGGCATAAAGTGGTGACTCCCGCTCCGGCTCGTTTCTGGTGCAAAGGATGTCCATTGCAATTTAGCGAGGCAATGCTGCCAGTATCATGGGCACTTTTGCACCGGAAGCGACGCGGGGCGGGTTATATGATCTGACCTGAATAAAAAAATAATTTAAATTAAATGTGAATAAATATTTTACAATCATCTTGAAATAAAATAAAGTAAAACTTGCATTTACGAGTATTATTTTAAATTTCAGTTTTTTTACTTGACTGAATTATTAGAAAGAAGAAAGAAAGAAAGAAAACATATTTTATTTCTAGGATACACGACAAACAATTTATATGAGGATATGTGTTTCGAATGTCACGCATAATGCGACAACATTGGCTACGTGGCATTCGCCTCAGTGGTACACGCAAAGCCTCACTGGCGCTCACGTGTTAAATGTGTAAATTAGGTACAAAAAATTTCCAGTTTAATTCTTTGCATTATATAAAAGTCGATTTACAGTCTTAAGTAAATAGGTAGTCCTAAGATGACAAACCTTAGACCTATTAACAAATAAAATGCATTAATTCAATAATGTTTATTGCTGCTAACTTAGATGGTACTTTTTTCCTATAGACACATAGCCCTATATAAAAACGCATTATGAAATATTTAATTTGAACATGAATGCTTAGCGACCTATAACTTGAAATTATCATTACATTTAAAGTAGGTAATTCTTACGAAACAAAATATGTATAAGTACATGCAAAAAAATCATTTTTAACAAGAAGCACAAGTTGTCACGTAGCGTTTAAAGCTGAAAGATGTGCAAAAGAGTTTTTTAACTATGTGTGCTACTAGGTTAAAAAATAACCTAAAAACGGCTAAATATAGTAGGTGTCCAGTATATATTTTGACCTGTCGTGGCACAAAAATCTATACAACGACACTTTACGTTATACTGGTATTAGAAATAATACAAGACATAAATACGCCCAGAATTAAGACTGTCAGATCATCTTTATTAATAATAATATTGTCAGGATACATTTCACAAGGCTATGATAAGTTATCTAAACATTATTTATATTAGGTCTTTACCTATGAAATTGCCGTTTTGTATGCAATAAGTGAAAGTACTTATTTTTTCAAACTTTTTTATTTCTGTTATTCAAAAATTTTGGATTTTGGAAATTTGGAAAAAGTAGTAGTCGGTAGGTGCAAGGTCCAAGACCTTGCACCTACCGACTATTACTTTTTCCAATATTTAGACAACTTTTTAGTGGGTAAAAAATTCAATTCCCGAGAGGCAGTACAAAATGCCTTTGAAGAGTTTGTTGCCTCCCGTCCAGTTGATTTTTACAAGAAGGGCATCAATAAACTGCCAATGCATTGGCAAAGATGCGTCGATTGCATGGGTGATTACTTCGAATAACAGAAATAAAAAAAAATGAAAAAATAAGTACTTTCACTTATTGCACACAAAACGGCAACTTCATAGGTAAAGACCTATTACTATAAGTTTCAAAACATACTATCATCATCATCATCATCAACAGCCTATAACAATCCACTGCCTTCCTCCATTCCTAACCATATCCTCTTTCACGCAGTCCATCCATCTTTTCTTCTTGATCGTCCTTTGCTCTTAAATCCGTCAACTTCCATCATCATCATCACCATGAACAGCCTTTGATAGTCCACTGCTGGACAAAGGCCTCTCCTTAGAAATTAGGTTATGGCATATATACCACACTGGCCAAAAGGTTTGATTTGTTCTATACTATACGTAAATGTTACAATATATTATTAGAAACATCAAGACCAGCCTATAAATACATATATTCATATATAGAAATATTTGCACTGACCGGGCATCAAACCAATAAAGTAATGGAATAAATCATACAATGATGAGTGATATTTGAAACCCACAAATGTCTGAAATTCAGTCTTAGAACTCTAATTTTTATTTTCTGCTACAATTTTTCTTATCCAGGGTAAATGTTGTGCTATATCGGTAAATACAAGATATTTTCCACTGACGCACGTATTTTTTTTAACGTTTTCTGGACATAGAATCATTAAGGAAAGTATGCCTCGTAGTCGCCATTTTTTATGATCTGCTAAATAAAAACCACTACCAGACCCTCCCCTGGCTGTATTCAAGGGAATAAGTCTTTCTACACATACAGTTTTATCTAGGTTTACATTTTGATAAGAATGGGATTGACATATTGCTGTGTTGACAGTGAACATCCTCCGAACTTCTTGATAACCTGTGCTTTGCCACCCTGAATAAATACCAAACGCTGCAGTACTCTCAGAGTTTTCTTTCCATAAGCATGCCGCATTTACATAATGACCGTTAAAGTCTACCTTCTTTATTAACGTAAGTATTGCAATATCATCCTTAGGTGAAGAATTCTTATATGATTCAGGCACTGACATAGAATTTATTTTCCTCGTAACAGCACTTCGGGCGACTTGATATTCATCGTATTTCTCTTCGTAATTCTCTAATCCTAGCTTCACCACTATTTGATTGGTAATCACTTCTTTGTACTTAAATACACAATGGGCAACAGTAATAAGATGCCTATCAGATAGAAGTGTACCTCCGCATATAAAATGTAGATCCCCTTTGGTGGTATTAAAGATGGCTACTGGCCAGGGGAGAGTAATCCCTCCTTCACATCTAGACTCATTCTCTGAGATGTTATGGGATTCCAAAGACATTGGTATTGAAGCTTTCGTAGAATTATCTTGAGGATGGTACATATTGTGTGGAGAAATCGTCTGATTCTGAAACGATCCTAGTACAGGTTTATTAAATTCTGCTTGATTCGTCGTCTGCGGAAATAATCTGAAATCAAGTTGATGGAGATATAGATAATAAAATTCAATTAAATTTGAAAAAAAGGTCATTAAATATCTGATGTTTAAAAAATAGCGCTTTTATTTAGCCTGTAAAGAACACAATAAGGCACATACCTATCGCCAAGGAATAGGCGGGTTTTCCGCTTTTGACTTTTTTGGCTACAATGTATATAGTATAGCCAGCCTACACACACAGCTTGTCTGAAGTCTGATCATAACATTAATAAATAATAACAAGCGTTATGCGAGACTAAAAATTTTTACATATTAACTACGGTATTGCGTTTGAAAGCCATTCTCAGGTACATCTAAATGTATGGCCTAAGCCATAAGTGATGCCACGGTCTCACAGAAAACCGGTGTTATGTTATTATTTCATTGCATTTTAACGAGCAAGTACTGAAGTAACATAAGTATGGATATATATTTTATGTGTTTTATTACTTTAAAAAACTCTGCCAAGAGTAGGTAGCCAATTTCTTGTAATATAAAAATATGCTTACATTGCAGCCGTGGAGGGTGTAACTCGGCAGAGCTCATCAGATTCATCAGACCCGTCTGAACAATCTTGTCTCTGTGAAAAAAAATTATAATACAATTTAATTTTATATTGTTTGAAAATGTCCTTTTCCGTGTGGTGACGGATTAAGAATACAGAGTGTCACCACACCTATTCATCCCGTGGGTGTCGTAAGAGCGAGTCGACTAAGGGAGAAAACTACGCAGAACAACAGCACTGCAGAGAGAAGGAAAACTTGACACAAACCTTATACCAACCCGTCTGGCCAGCGTGGTATAGAAGGCCAAAACCTCCTTTCTAAGGAGAGGCCTATGTCCAGCAGTGGACTATTAAAGGCTGCTGATGATGATGATGATGTCTTTTTAATAAGGCTTCTACTTACTATATAAGTTGTTAAAGAAACAAGGTTAACTTATCATTGTGATTATACCCCATACCATGTTGGGGCCGAAAGTGGTCGTTTAAATATGTATATACCTACTTTTATTAGAAAATATAAACATTTACCATAAAGCCACAAATAAAGCAATTTCTTTCTTTTTCTTTTAAAAAGACAACGCCCGCATTAGGAATAAACCCTGTGTCGCGGGGGAGTTTACAAACATACATGAAACGGACACAAAGAACACCCAGACTCAGAACAACAATTTGTGGATCACACAAAGTGTCGTCCCATGTGGGGTTTGAACCCACAACACTCGGCGTAGTAGGAAGCGGCGTGGCGACCGCTTAAACCACTACGCCATCCGTGCAGTCAATTATAAGCACAATAATAATCTATACTAATAATTAAAATTGAAGTGTCTGTTTGTAATGTCAAAATAATGGTTCTTTTTCATGTTCACACGGTTATTTGCACGATGCTCAATACTCAATACTTTATTGCTTCCATAATGTTAATACATAGGTGACAACATTTCAAGCGGCAAAAATTATGGACCCTGTCGGGCGCAGCACAGTTTGTTTGGGAGAGAGGAAGATAACACAACCACATATACAGTAGAATATAATAGTTTCTAATTAATACAGTAGGATACAATCATGGTAACTATTATTATATTATTAGTTATAAATAATTTTGTTACTTATATTTGTTCATAATTTTAAAATTGATTTAAAAGTGCATAAAAGAAATAAAATATTGTCCGTTATTTATTATTTCAATTATTTATTAGTTATTATTTTAATTATTTGATCGATTAATTATAATTACCTACTTTAGTAGTCATAAATATATTATATTATTATAAAATTTAAGAAAAGAGGACACTATTATTTCATTCTTCAATTTTTTTTATTTTGTCTAATCTGGTTATAACAATTATAGAATTTATTATTTTAGAGTATTTTATTTACTTTCCAAATACTCGCTTATTAGGAATAACTTTAATTTATTAACAAACGTATTAAATTTAGTCTCGTTTTTAATGTCAATGGGTAATTTATTATACACTTTTAAAGACATGACCAAAGGACCACGAGAATGCATTATTAGTCTGGAAGGGGGTAGATTTAATCTGTTTTTGTGTCTAAAGGAAAAGTTTGTTTCTTTGTCTTCCCGTTTACTATACAGTTCCGGGTAATTTCGGATACCTTTGCCTAAAAACCAGTTTAAATAATTTTTGTATGTCTATCTGTCTGTCTGTTTGTTCCGGGTAAATTTCATAATATTTTACTCCAGGTAGCTGTCTAGGTATATAAGAAGTAACTCAGGCTATTTTTTTCATCAGAGAACCCCTATAAAATTTTACTCTGTCCGGGAATCGAATCCACTAAGGCAGCGCTTTTCGAATTCCACGCTTACGAAATCGCGGGCACCAGCCAGTAACATTATAAAAAAGTAATCTAATTTCAACCTAATATTATACATTGATGGATAACAATGCTGGAAGAGATGATGATGATGATGATGATGATGATAAAAAAATCAACCATATATAGAAAAAAAGTCTTTCTTTACCCCATTACAGTCCGCTCCTGGGTCCACACAAGATCCGTCATCACATTGAAATGAATACAACGGACACGTCTTTCTGGCGCTTGCTGCAAATGCTCTAGAAAAAAAAAGTTTAGAAAGGTAGATTTTCAGCACTGCCATCCACAACTCAAGACTAACAATATTGAAACGTTAATAATAGGCTGATAGTGATTATTGTAAATATTGTTTTGTACTTATATCCAAAATCTTTTGGGTACATATTTATGAACTTAGCTAAAAAAATTCTCGATGACCTTCTAGCATCTGACAAGTGTCTTTGCGTATCTTTATGCATATTGTTGCGCCATAGGATTAAATGGTTCGATTGTATGGAATGTGGAGGACAGCGACATCTAGTATCGACTAAATTATATCTATTAAGATAGTGGTTAATACGAGTAGTTCTGATCCTTACAGCGCTAGATGGCGCTGCAAGTAACGCGTGACTGATTCTGGAATATTCGTGTTTGTTTGGAACGGACTATCGAATACTAGGGATCTTTTTAGTAAAATTCTAAGCTATAAAAGCGGAGCGTGTTGGCCGTTTGGAACAGTTTCAGAATTAACATCGGAATGAATTTCTAGTGCGACTAACGAGATGTATAGTGATTTCTAGTTTATTATAGTGAGTGTTTGTAAATACAGTGCAATAAAGTAAAAACCGACAACTTTTATTTATTATATACCCCGCTCGTAACAATAAGTTAGTGTTTTATTGATATGGTCTTCTAAAGTGGTGACTCAGACCGAGGGCCGGCATAACGTACGGCATAATGTACATAAGCTTATTGCCGTCAATCAAACACAGACATTTCTAAATAAACATACAAGTTATGCACCTCTAAATACATACATTTTATAGATATATACATACATATTATAGAAATAAAATACATATTTTCCTTTGAATATATTGCCAACTTTCCAAATTAGGTCCTTGGTGGGCGGAATGTACAAATTTAGTAATGTGTTAAATATTTACACCTTGGCTCGATAGATGGCGTTGTGCCTATGGGCTAAATCACGGTATAGTTTAGTTACGAGCCGGGACATATAAAGACGAGTAAAATATTTTTGTTGAACACATTTTTTTCTGTATATTGTGCCAATTTCACACTAATAAATTCAGAGGTACAGTGCAGTTTGTGTTTTACTGGAAGACCTCGAGGATTAGTTTTTTTACACTTATCTTACCCCTAAAGTGCCCAGTTGCCCTTGTACCCTTAAAAGAACTAAAATTATGATTGGTATAACGACTCTGTTTATCCCTTGCATGCATGTAAAATTTGTGTATGTATGTAAAATCCTTAACATAATATTAGGTTGTGTTTGAAACCATATTTATAATTACTCTTTAATGAACTCCTGGTGCTTCGTTATTTTCGTGAACGTGGTATAAACGTTGTCATTGCATAATTTGTCTTCATCATTGGGTGCTGCAGAGACGATGCCTCGGAGGTAGTATCGGTCCACGCCCCTTTCTCTCTCGGAGAAAGCTAGGCCACCTCCACTGTCGCCTTGACAAAGGGCTGTACCTGCAATAATCATCCAGCAAATTCTAGTGTACAGAAAAATGCGTTCATATGTTAGGGTCATGTAGATTTTTTTTTGAATTTGTGATTTTCAATATCTTAACGTGTGACGGGCGATAAGGAACTTCGATCCAAAAACAAAGTCATACAATTAACTTGGAAATTTGGAAAAGATTTTTTATAAATGTGTTTGTCTATTTCTTTTAATTAAAGTAACTATATGGTTACACATAACAAGTTACAAAAATATCAACATCTTTAGTTCAAAGTTTAGTTACTTGTTAGTAGCCATAGAGGGTAAGCTGTACTGTTCTTGGCACCCCATTAATCACTGGCACTCTTAATTTTAAACAAAAATATTAAGGATTGATCGATTAATTGAATATTTTTTAAACACATCACCTGTAATCAAGAGTTAATGGCAATTATTGATCAAAGAAACCTAAAAACCTATCATTGTATAGCTTACCATAGTTGCTCTCATGAAAAAAAACATTGTCTCATCCTGAATTAAAAATAAAATGAGAAAGGAGGAAAAATATCAGAGACGTTTTAAATATCAGAGAGGGTACATCATTATGAACAGACAGACGGGTTACCTAATGATAAATGAATATCGGTCCCCTCCTCCCACCCTCGATTGGCATAAAAGTGGTCACAATAAAAACGTTTATGTGCAGATAAAAATAATACGTTTTTTTTTTTTTTGCCTTAATTTCAATTACTTAGGGCAAAGCATGTTTTTTGATGAAGTGTCACCTACCATTGGTATAGCCAGCACAGAACTTGTCCCCAGTGATGTATTCCCTGAACGTTTCTGGAAGAGTCCTTATACATATGTCTACACTGATGAAAGGCATTTCAACTACTCTAAGGATGTGTGAAGCTTGGCCGTGAGCTGCTGTCAGACCCCAACCAGCCACCTAAAATGAGACACACAATTATTTATTTATATTCTACCACATACACACAACGCCATCTAGTCCCAAACTAAGCAGAGCTTGTACTATGGGTACTAGACAACTGATATAAATACATATATACTTTTTTTTTTGTAAATACATACATATTATACATAGAAACACCCAGACCAAATCAAACATCAAATGTTCATGCACACAAATGTTTGAGTGAGCGGGAATCGAACCCGCGACCTTTGGAATAGCAGTCCGTTACACAAACCACTACGCCATCCAGTCGTCATTATATCATCATCAACTGCCTTATTAAAGGTAGGTCCACTGCTGGACATAGGCCTCTCCTTAAAGATGAGGTTTTGGTCTACTATAAAACTCTGGCCAGACCGGTTTCCTTCCTTAGTCACCTTTTACGATACGGCGGCGGCGCCTCTTACGGCTGAATAGGGGGGCGATACTCCCTATTTTTGATCCGTCATCACACGGACAATAGTAATGAATATTTTACAATTTATAATATATGAAGCATACCTTCCCCAATTTCCCATGTTGAAGTTGTAACTGGTCAAAGTAGACTCCAAAATCCAGACACACGGGTCTTATGTACGTCGTGAAGTTGAACGGAGTCATTAGAGTTAGAACTGCAATATCTTCTTGAAAATTGGCTGATTCTCCTTCAAATAAACTTGGGATCTTTATTTCTTTTACCTGTAATAAAAGTTGTAGTTTCAGATCAAAGTTTACTGCACGGATGGCGTAGTGGTTTGAGCGGTCACCTCACCGCTTCCTACTGCGCTGAGTGTTGTGAATTTGATACCCAAATGGGAGACCACTTTGTCTGATCGACACATGATTGCTCTGAGTCTGGGTGGGAAATGATTAACACCGTTTTAAGCATTTTTTTAATTACTTTTCAACGAGTCAGTGAGGTTGCTGGAATGCTGACTTTAAGTTGACTTGATAACCTAAGCATAAGTAGATGATACACTTTCGAACATCAATCATGTTCTTCCAACACAAAGTTGTATATACATGTGGCGACAGCCCTATGCTATTGTGTCGACAGCCCTAAGCTATTATTTTATGTCAGCATTTTCAGCAGATAGGTAGTTAAATACACTAATCGTCCTAAGATTTTTCATATCACGATACAGGAGTAGTACTACTACGTTACGTTACTACGTAATTCGGTGACGCTTCGTTAGATGGCGCTGATGTATGTTTCTGTTTCATTTTATGTGGAAGTCGCTTAAGTAACATACAATGTGCATAACTAAATATCCCTTCTATCATTAAAATTGGTTCATCATAGTTAAAAAAACGTAATAGATATCAGATTTATAATACAAGTATAAGTATAGAGCCAAGCCTTTTTCCTAACTAGTTTTGGGGTCGGCTTTAAGTCTACGACGATGCAGCTGAACTTCGTTTTTTAAGCCCAGCGACTGCCACCAGACCACCTCAACAATAGCACTAGACGATATCGAAGTTCCATAAAAAGACTGTTGATTGTAACAGATGTCCGTATGGGGACCGACGGCTTAACGTGTTCTCCTAGGCACAAAGGGGTCTCAATCTGTTGAGAAAATGTTTGTCAAGTGTCTTTTTTTTTTTTTTGGGACTAATCCCACCCACACGCCCACCACTGTAACTCCTGTACACCAGGATCCACAGCAGTGACCCACGAACACACCGAGTTATGACACTCGGGAAGTCCCAGGAAGAAATTAAACTGTCTTGGAACCCGCAACGAAATTAATCAGAAGAAAATTGGAGGAGTTGGAAATACAGTAAATCACTTCCCCCTTAGCAAAGCAACAAAGTAATTTTTTTTTGGGGGGGGGTTTTTTAAAATTTTCTTTTCCTTTGGGGTGGGCCCCCTTTACCCCCCCCCCCAACCCGGGGGAATTTAAAAAAAGTATAAGTTTTTCCCTTTTTTCAAAAGATTGCCAGGGGGAAAAAAATTTTTCTTGTCTTTTTTCCCGGGGAAAAAAAAACGGCCCACCAAACCCCAAAATTTTTTTTTAAAATAATCAAAAAATTTTTTTGGGTGTCTTTAAAAAAGGGTTTTTAATTTTTTCTAAAAACCAAAAATTTTTTTTCCCGGGGGGAAAAAAGGGGGTTTTTGGGGTAACCCCCCCCCCAAAAACCCAATAAAAAATAAAAAAAAACTAATTTAAAATTAATCCCGGGGAAAAATTTTTTAAAGGGGGATGTATGAAAAAAAAAAAGAAAAAAAAATTTTTTTAAAAACCCCGCCCTTTGGGGAACCCAAACCCCCTTACAGAAAGAAAAAAACGGGTTTTTGGGTTTTTTTTCAAATTTAAAAAAATTCCAAAAAAATTTCCCAAAAAAAATCAAAAAAAAAGAAAATTTAAAAAACCAATTAAAATTTAAACCCGGGGTTTTTGGTTTTTTAAAAAAAAAAACCCTTCCCCCCCCCAAAAAAAAATTTTAGGTAAAAGGTTTTTGAAACAAAAAAAAAAAAATTTTTAACTGCTTAAAAAATTATTTTAAAGGAAAAAAAGGTTAAAGTTGGCAAAATTTTTAATAGGTGGGTTTTTTTAAACTTTAAAAGGCTCCATTTTTTTATAAAAAAAAGGAAATAATAAATATCCACCTTGGTACTCTCGTGTAATGATACGACTTCTTAGAGAAAAATACAAATACACGTTCGTTTTAAAAAATACAAAAATCCACTAGACCAAGTGGCTTTTACTGAAAGACTCGAGGTCTTTCAGTAAAACACAAGTAAAGATTAGTTTTTTACACTTATCTTATCCCTAAACTGCCCAGTTGCCCTTGTACCCTTAATGGGTAAAATGTGGGTGGGTTAAATGGTAAAACGACTCTGTTTATCCCTTGTATGCATGTAAAATCCTCAACATAATGTTGTGTGTTAGGTTGTGTTTGAAACGAAATTTATAATTACTCTTTAATGAACTCCTGGTGTTTCGTTATTTTCGTGAACGTGGTATAAACGTTGTCATTGCATAATTTGTCTTCATCATTGGGTGCTGCAGAGACGATACCTCGGAGGTAGTATCGGTCCACGCCCCTTTCTCTCTCGGAGAAAGCTAGGCCACCTCCACTGTCGCCTTGACAAAGGGCTGTACCTGCAATAATCATCTAGCAAATTCTAGTGTACAGAAAAATGTGTTCATATGTTAGGGTCATGTAGATAGGGCGATAAGGAACTTTGATCACAAAACAAAGTCATACAATTAACTTGGAAGTTTGGAAAAGATTTTTTGGAAATGTGTTTGCCTATTTCTTTTAATTAAAGTAACTATATGGTTACACATAACAAGTTACAAAAATATCAACATCTTTAGTTCAAAGTTTAGTTACTTGTTAGTAGCCATAGAGGGTAAGCTGTACTATTCTTGGCACCCCATTAATCACTGGCACTCTTAATTTTAAACAAAAATATTAAGGATTGATCGATTAATTGAATATTTTTTAAACACATCACCTGTAATCAAAAGTTAGTGGCAATGATTGATCAAAGAAACCTAAAAACCTATCATTGTATAGCTTACCATAGTTGCTCTCATGAAAAAAAAACATTGTCTCATCCTGAATTAAAAATAAAATGAGAAAGGGGGGAAAAATATCAGAGACGTTTTAAATATCAGAGAGGGTACATCATTATGAACAGACAGACGGGTTACCTAATTATAAATGAATACCGGTCCCCTCCTCCTGGATTGGCATAAAAGTGGTCACAATAAAAACGTTTATGTGCAGCTAAAAATAATACGAAAAATTTTTTTTTGCCTTAATTTCAATTACTTAGGCCAAAGCATGTTTCTTGATGAAGTGTCACCTACCATTGGTATAGCCAGCACAGAACTTGTCCCCAGTGATGTATTCCCTGAACGTTTCTGGAAGAGTACTTATACATATCTCTACACTGATAAAAGGCATTTCAAGTACTCTAAGGATGTGTGAAGCTTGGCCGTGAGCTGCTGTCAGACCCCAACCAGCCACCTTAAATGAGACACACAATTATTTATTTATATTCTACCACATACACACAACGCCATCTAGTCCCAAACTAAGCAGAGCTTGTACTATGGGTACTAGACAACTGATATAAATACATATATACTTTTTTTTTGTAAATACATACATATTATACATAGAAACACCCAGACCAAATCAAACATCAAATGTTCATGCACACAAATGTTTGACTTGAGCGGGAATCGAACCCGCGACCTTTGGAATAGCAGTCCGTTACACAAACCACTACGCCATCCAGTCGTCATCATATCATCATCAACTGCCTTATTAAAGGTAGGTCCACTGCTGGACATAGGCCTCTCCTTAAAGACGAGGTTTTGGCCTACTATAAAACTCTGGCCAGAGCGGTTTCCTTCCTTAGTCACCTTTTACGATACGGCGGCGGCGCCTCTTACGGCTGAATAGGGGGGGCGATACTCCCTATTTTTGATCCGTCATCACACGTACAATAGTAATGAATATTTTATAATTTATAATATATGAAGCATACCTTCCCCAATTTCCCATGTTGAAGTTGTAACTTCTCAAAGTAGACTCCAAAATCCAGACACACGGGTCTTATGTACGTCGTGAAGTTGAACGGAGTCATTAGAGTTAGAACTGCAATGTCTTCTTGAAAATTGGCTGATTCTCCTTCAAATAAACTTGGGATCTTTATTTCTTTTACCTGTATTAAAAGTTATAGTTTCGGATCAAAGTTTACTCCACGGATGGCGTAGTGGTTTAAGCGGTCACCGCACCGCATCCTACAGCGCTGAGTGTTGTGAATTTGATACCCACATGGGAGACCACTTTGTGTGATCGACACATGATTGCTCTGAGTCTGGGTGGGAAATGATTAACACCGTTTTAAGCATTTTTTTAATTACTTTTCAACGAGTCAGTGAGGTTGCTGGAATGCTGACTTTAAGTTGACTTGATAACCTAAGCATAAGTAGATGATACACGTTCGAACAGGAATCATGTTCTTCCAACACAAAGTTGTATATACATGTGGCGACAGCCCTATGCTATTGTGTCGACAGCCCTAAGCTATTATTTTATGTCAGCATTTTCAGCAGATAGGTAGTTAAATACACTAATCGGCCTAAGATTTTTCATATCACGATACAGGAGTAGTACTACTACGTTACGTTACTACGTAATTCGGTGACGCTTCGTTAGATGGCGCCGATGTATGTTTCTGTTTCATTTTATGTGGAAGTCGCTTAAGTAACATACAATGTGCATAACTAAATATCCCTTCTATCATTAAAATTGGTTCATCATAGTTAAAAAAAACGTAATAGATATCAGATTTATAATACAAGTATAAGTATAGAGCCTGAACTTCGTTTTTTAAGCTCAGCGACTACCATCAGACCACCTCAACAATAGCACTAGACGATATCGAAGTTCCATAAAAATACTGTTGATTGTAACAGATGTCCGTATGGGGACCGACGGCTTAACGTGTTCTCCTAGGCACAAAGGGGTCTCAATCTGTTGAGAAAATGTTTGTCAAGTGTCTGTCAAGAAATGGTCACCCATTCATAGACTGATCTGGCTAGGATTGCTTTACTTTTGTATTTGTTAATTTACTCGGTTATCATTTAGCCAAGAGCGCCAAGTACTCATACTTGGCGCTCTGCTAAATGGTAATTTATTGTGATTAATTAAAGTATTTAATTAAGTGAAGTGAAGTGTTATTTAAGAAATCGTTTTCTACATACATCGGATTTTTGTGCTCCAACGTCTTCCTCATTGTCCCAAGATCGGTATATATTACCACCTGCTACTCCGAAGTCAGCTGCAGGGAGTAATACATCCCTCCAAAAGCAGTGAGCAGCTGTGAAATGAAAACAAAAACATATAAAAACAAAAACCCATGAATAATTTCAACGAGGCCTCTCCTTAGAAAGCAGGTTTTGGCCTACTATACTACACCCACAGGATCAATAGGGGTGGTGTCACTCCGTATTCTTAATCCGTTACGCACGGACTATTACGGATTATTTTATTTACAGGCACTACAACTTACAGGCAAACTATAGACAATATCGAGTTGAAACTCACAAAAATGGTTTTAAGAGCTCACATTTTTAATCAACATCAAAATTACTTAAATTTTACCAGTTTTTTTTAACATTATGTGTCCAGTCTGTGTGGTAACGTATTAAGCCTACTGAGTGTCACCACCCCTATTCATCGCATGGATGTAGGAGCCGACAAAGGGAGCAAACTACGCAGGACAACAGCACTGCAAAAAGACGGAAAACTTGAAACAATCCCTATACCAACCCGTCTAGTCAGCGTGGTATAGTAGGTCAAAACCTCCTTTCTAAGGAGAGGTCTATTTTCAACAGTGGCCTATTAAAGTCTGTTGCTGACGTTAATTGATGAACAGAATATTTTTAATTAAAGCTAAAGCCATGATCTCGTTTGCCGTGGGAGAGTCATATTTTGCCACAAACGGGTCGGATCTACTGGAGTGATACTACAGCCTCACAGAGAACCGGTGTTAAGGAATTCTTTTGTTGCTTCTCGAGTGTGTAAAGTCACCAAAGGCGCGCACCCCCTCCCCAAAGATCCTGGGAGGAGAAGTACTCAAAGTACAGCATCTCACTTGTGACTCTTGAGTTGTAGGATTCCATGGGTGATGGTAATAATTATCATGATATCATTTTTAAAAGCTTGAGACATATCACACATGGCCATCTTGTACCCAACTAGGCAGAGCTTGTACTATGGTAACCAGACTACTGATAAACATACTTATTTATTTCTAAATACACACATATTATAGATAAATTACAACCATGTCAATTACAATCATAATCATCACACAATTTTTTGTCCTGGATGGGAATGGAACAAATCTCTGTATCAAATCTCTGTTTGAATCGCTAACCAACTCGCCAACAGGCCGATCCAATTCACGCTTTAGAAAACAAGTTAACAAAATCTTTATTGTTAGTAACATTTACTTGTTACCAACGCATGCTCAGTTCTCATGTACAAATCCTAATAAGAAAAAAATATTTCTTAAACGTCACATACCTGATATTACAATATTATTGGAGACAAGGGACCCGCCGCAGATCTGCGTATATGGGTTTGTTGTCTTTCGATAGATGCCCACATGCCAAGGGAGTTCTCCACGCTTGGCTTTAGTTGCACCTATTGCCAGCTGAAGACCTCCAGGAGTGACGCGGCCACACTCTAAAATTTGAGAAGAGTCATATTAAGTAAACATTAAATACAGACACTAGGTGTAGACCGCAGCTTCGCTCGCTTGATTATTTCTTGTTTCGTGTTTCTAACTATGAAAATAGCGAACTTTGTACAAAATCTGATGTACTTACTGAAAGGTGATATTTCCAAAAGTTCTTTCTTAGTGGGTGCTCACAACACACAAAGCATCAGATATCAAAATTTCAAGTTTCAGTTTTTAGTTTAGGTTCTGCGTTTATGAAGCAGTTAGTAAGAGCACGTAAGTTGATTTGTGTATGCTTCAAAAACTCGAAACGTTCTTCAGCGATTGAGCTCAACTTTTTGTAATGTTTGCGGGTTAATAACGAATACACGTATTGAACATTCAACTATTTAATTCCAACTGCACACACAATAAAATTTTGCCCGATACCCACGTTTATACATATGTATACATATACGGTATCTAAGACTTATAACTAGTTATTACAATTACCCTACATTACACTTTTGACACCATTAACCACCTGCTCAAAGATTGTTATAATCTATTTTTCGCGTCAATTTAGTTTCCCATTTCTCATTAATGTAAGCCACAGTGTGCCACAGCAAAGCGAAGAAGGGTACAAATAGTAATTTAGTATATTAATTATTTTCATAAATCATCATCAACAGCCTTTAATAGTCCACTGCTGAACATAGGCCTCTCCTTAGAAAGGAAGTTTTGGCCTACTTTACTACACCAACGGAATGAATAGGGGTGGTGACACTCCATGTTCTTAATCCGTCACCACACGGACTATTACGGATTATTTTCTTCACAGGCAAACTATGGACAATATCGAGTTGAAACTCACAGAAATGGTTTTAAGAGCTCACATTTTTAATCAACATCAAAATTACTTGAGTTTTACCAATTTATAATTCGCTGTATATATGTATGTGTCTGTGTGATGACGGATTAAGAATACGGAGTGTCACTACTCCTTTTCATCCCGTGGATGTAGTAAGAGCCGACTAAGGGAGTAAACTACGCAGGACAACAGCACAGCAAAGAGAAGGAAAACTTCACACCAACCCGTCTGGTCAGCGTGGTATAATAGGCCAAAAGCTCCTTTCTAAGGAGAGACTTATCTTCTTCAGTGGACTATTAAAGGTTTATGATGACGATGATGGTGTATGTGTGAAATAATTTTTATTCAACCTGCTTTGCACAAAGCTATGTAGTTCCAAACTCCAGACATGCACCTCATATTCGGGAGTAATTCATTGGAGTAATAGATGGGACGGTTGCAAACCGGCTCCACTGACATTCCTGGTGGGACATAGTGTTTGCACACTTCAACGCCTTTCCCTGGATAGTAACACATGTAGTGCACACTCGGGTCTGGGTCCAGTTTGCAGAATCCTGGAAAAGAAAATAAAAATAACATAAAAAAGGGTCTAAGGACCAGAAAACTGGTGTTACACAGGTCTTTCGTTGCTTTTCAAGGAGCGAGTGAAGTTACCAGAACTCAAAAACCCTTCCCCCTGATTCTGGAGGGGGATTCAAATGGCAGGAACGCAAATGTGACTCTTGAGTTGCAGGTATCCATGGGCGGTGGTAGTTACTTACCATCAGGTGGTAATCTTCTCGTTTATTCATGTAGGTCGAAGCTATGGTACAAGTATCACTCCAATCAAGCCTGCTTGGCTATCCCAAATATGTATGTAGATCTAAAATAATAATAATATTTTCGAACATCTGGCACACAACGCCATCTAGTTTCAAACCAAGCAGAGTTTGTACTTTGAAAGCTAGATGACTGATGGAATACTTGTATACTTTTTTGTAAATACATACATATAAAACACCCAAACTCCAAAACATTGTTTTGCAGATCTTACAACATTTGGTCCGACCGAGGAATCGAACTCGAGATCTCAGCACAGCATTTCATTGGGACTAATCCCTCCCACACGCCCACCACTGTGACTCCTGTACACGAGGTTCAACAGCAGTGACCCACGAACATATCGAATTATGACACTCAGGAAGTCCCCGGACAAAATTAGAATGTCTTGGAACCCGCAATGAAATTAATCAGAAGACAATTGGAGGAGTTGGAAATACAATAAATCCCTCACCACCCAAACCTCAGCACAGTAGTCGCATACGCTACCACTGTACCACTGAGGCAGTCAAAATATGTATAAGATCAGCAGAGATACTTACGAACACATTTAGGCATATCCTGGTGCCATTTACCATTGACGCAGTACACTTGTTGAATACCACTTCCATCACCGTTGGGATTCATAACGCCATATCCTTTCCGACACTGCACCGTGAGTGCGAAGGAGGCCAGTGACTGACCCGGACGAGCATCAGGAAGATCCTCGACTTCGTAAGTCCCGTGAGCAGGGTACGGAGGAAGAATGCAGGAAGTCGAAGGTCCTGATCTGAAATTGGGAGAGTTTTACTGAAGCTCTTCTTACACAGACAAACTTTCGGCGGGCCTGTTGGTCTCGTTATTGGTGCTTCTGACTGTTAAACCGGAGATGGATTTGACTCCCGCCCATTGCAAAAATAATTGTGTGATGAAACGATCATTTGGTCTTGTCTGGGAGTAATTTATCTAAAATATGTACATATTTAGAAATATATAAGTATGTTTATCAGCAGCCTGGTTACCATAGTACAGGCTCTGCCTAGTTTGGGATCAGACGGCCGTGTGTGATTTGTAAAATTAGTATTACTCGAATTCGATAGCTTGTCCATCTAACAAACTAAATAGGGGAAGCTATTTAAATAATAATAATAATATTCTACCACATCCACACAACGCCATCTAGTCCCAAACTAAGCAGAGCTTGTACTATGGCTACTAGACAACTGATATAAATACATATATACTTTTTTTGTAAATACATACTTATTATACATAGACACACCCAGACCAAATCATACATTAAATGTTCATGCACACAAATGTTTGACTTGAGTGGGAACTGAACCCACGAACTTTGGAATAGCAGTCCGTTACACAAACCTAATGTCCGTGTGGTGACGGATTAAGAATACAGAGTGTCACCACCCCTATTCATCCCGTGGGTGTCGTAAGAGCCGACAAAGGGAAAAAACTACGCAGAACACCAGCACTGCAGAGAGAAGGAAAACTTGACACAAACCCTATACCAACCCGTCTGGCCAGCGTGACATAGTAGGCCAAAACCTCCTTTCTAAGGAGAGGCTTATGTCCAGCAGTGGACTGTTACAGGCTGATGATGACACAAACCACTCAGCTAAGTCGTCTAAATGTGATATGTTATCTGTACCCTTCCACGCTTATATTGTGGTTGCATTGGTGAGAAGTGGGCAACAAAACAGGCGCGAAAAATAGATAGATAGATAAAAAAATCTTTAAAGCATAGTACAGGCTCTGCCGTGTGGTGACAGACGTCCGTGTGGTGACGGATTAAGAATACAGAGTGTCACCACCCCTATTCTTCAATTCGGTTATCATTTTATGTTTCGCATCAAAAGCCCGTAACACTCCACTGCTGAACATAGGCCTCTTCTTAGAAAGGAGGTTTTGGTCTACTATATCACCTTGGCCAGACGGGTTGGTATACGGTTTGTGTAAAGTTTTCCTTCTCTTTGCAGTGCTGTTGTCCTGATCCGTTATACAGCTTTTACGACACCTACAGGATGAACAGTTGTGGTGTCACTCCGTATTCTTAATCTGTCACCACACGGATGCCTTTTTATCTTTGTTAATCAACAACTCCAAACTGCACGGATGGCGTAGTGGTTTAAGCTGTCGCCACGCTGCTACCTACTATGCTGAGTGAGATGCGTTTGATCCCCACATGCAACGACACTATTGTGTGATCCACAAACTGTTGTTCTGAGTCTGGGTGTTGTTTGTGTCCGTTTTATGTATATTTTTAAAGTCATACTAGGTGACCCGGCAAACGTTGTATTGCAAAACAAAGAAAAATTAGGGATGGGTCACCCTTACCATTTAGGGGTATGAAAAATAGATGTTGGCCGATTCTCAGACCTAGCCGATGTGCACACAAAATTTCATGAGAATCGGTCAAGCCGTTTCGGAGGAGTACGGGAACGAACATTGTGACACGAGAATTTTATATATAAGATTCCTAATATTTTCGTTGTCTTTTAAAGAAAAAAAAAAGAACTCCGTCATTTTTTTATGGTTTTTTTTTTATTTGTGAGGACTTCTTGTTTGGTTCTATTCAATTTTGAAGAAACTCCACTCCTAAAGGTCGCAAATTAAGAAATGAAGAATACAGTTTCTTACATTCATTATCGTAGACTATTAAAGTCAGTGATACTCTCCACAAGTTACTTATGTGTCAGTGATGCGTCACAGGAAATTGAATAACTACAACTTTTTGACCTAACAGTCATTTTCTCGATGCATTTCATGGTCCCCTCCCTCCTTTTCCGTATGGAAATCCTCATGGACACCTCCCTCCCCAGTGGGTTATGGTATGGTTATGTCAGATCTAACTTTGCTGTGTTAAAACTCACTCACTCGGTGAGGTAAGGAAAGAAATGCTCAGCAACAGTTTTCTGACAAAAAGATTGACCTAGTAGGATTATAATTTTGTTTTACTCACGTTATCCTTCTGCAGAATGGGAGAGTCTCATCGCTGTCGTCAGGACAATCATTCGCTGCATCACATACGTTCTCTAATGAGATACAGGCTCCATCTCGACACTGCCACTGGTTACTTCTAAAATAACAGAACGATGTAGATATATTTTAGAGTCGTATTGATATAGATTATAAGGTAATACCGCATCTATAACTGCCTTGTTAGTCAAGTCACCTAAAGGCCCCTGTCGGCTAAGCCGAAGGTCGTGGTTTCGATTCCCAGGACTAGTGTTTGATAAGCACGATCATATTTTTTTCAATTTGAGTGTAATTTATCTATGATATATACGTATTTAGAGATATATAGGTATGTTTATCAGCAGTCTGGTTACCGTAGTAATAGGCTTTGCCTAGTTTGGGATGAGACCATGTGTGAGGTTATTTTTAAAACCCCCGACGGAAAACGAGGGGTGTTATAAGTTTACCCTGTTTGTCTCTAGCATCATAGCTCCCGAATGGATGGACTAATTTCGATGAGGATATTTTCGTTCAAAAGCCGATGTGGTTCTTAGATATAAATTTTGAACATCATCAGCTCATTTTCTTTCTGATGAAAGGATCTCTTGATGGTATTTCCACGACATGGTAACCTGGAACTTGCTGCTGAATAAAGTAGTTTGCGGGATAGCCAACTACTCAGAAAATTACAACATATACATAGTATACCATGTTTGGGCTGTTTTTTTTTGTTTGTTTTTTGTTTTTTTGTATTGTGTTATTATAAATAGGCAAAGGCAAAACAATATAATTACTTGCAAGAATTCTCCGCAGCTCTTATTATTAATAGTGATGATACTGAAACATAAAATAAAACATAAAATAAAGTTAAATATATGAGCTATAGCCAATTCGAGTTACTTGTATGAGATCTTTCACTTTTTAATTTCTCTTATATTTTCTTTAAAAGACGATTTCCTCACTCGAGATCATACAAAGTGTTGTCCATGTGGGGATCGGACCCACAACACTCAGCGCACCAAGAAGCGGCATGGTGACCGCTTAAACCACTACGCTATCCGTTTACTATTGCTTATTCGTATAAGCAATTTCCCTATCCTATCGTTCCCTTCCCTTGATACCCTTTCACACAATAACTGACGGACCTATTTGTCTATAGTCCGTTTTTTAATCTCGTAGACCAAACTGACATTACGAGTGTTGTCAGTTTATTGCAATTCTTAAATAGTGATGTGGCACAACCGAAACTTAGCGTTAATAAAATCAAGTATCGTTTTTTTACAATAAGTTATCCTGAAATAATGTGTTTATCCTGAAATAATGTGTAGGTACTTATTTAAAACGTAATAATACAACATTATAAAGTAAAACATATATTTTTAATTACATAACTTAATTACAGGATTTCAGAATAGGTTGTGCTCTTGTTAACAAGTTTCGCACTGCCGTTGAGGACAAACCTATGCACAGAGAATATTTGCATAGTAGGGAGGCATCGACTATTCAAAGGGCAGCCCCTTTGAATAGTTGATCTTTCCACATAGGATCAGGGGGTTTGGGCTCCGGTTACCTCACTCACTTGGTGAAGAGCAACGACAAACATTTAGTTTTCAGTGAGGCAGTGGTATCACTCCGATCGTGCTGGCCATGTCTGTTCTTTTTTTTGTGTTCCTTATTCTTTCTCTAAATAAAGCTTCTGTTTTGATCAACTTGAGTAGTTATTTAATTGTGCCTAATTATATGCAACTGTAGTCTGTAGGTTTCCTCTCTACAGTTAACATAGCAAAATATTAGGTAGGTATTTAATTCACTCCTAATGGAGTAGATACTTGTTACTTTTAGTAACTTAGCATTTAAATTGTATTGTGCACATCTTTTGTATTCTAATTAGATCTTAATCTTCGTATAAATTGCATGCTAAATAATAAGTTTCATATTTTAACTTACAACGGGGGACTATGTAAATCCCCCCTCTATTTCTCAGAAACCCGGCACATTACGCATATGTCATTTATTTTTTCTTAAACTACATACTCATACGAATCTTAGACAATAGTTTTCATCTTGTCACAGTAATATTTATACCGATACTATTTTCCTTAGTTGTTTGGTCATTCCCCTTTAGGGTTGCTGTATTCAAAATCTATCATTTTTAAAACTACCATATTATCATAATTATTTTAAAAATTGCAGTTGTTCGTATGGTGTCAAGTTCCATAATTGCCGTATTTTTTAAGTTCTGCCGCTTCGTAAGAGAAAAGGGTTAAGATTGCCGTTTTAACGCTTACGGGACCAACACTGGTGGCGTCTATAATTCGTTTTTTTGTTTTATTTAAAGGCATCGAAACATGGTCGGATTACGCATAGCGTTGCGTGGTCAGATTTCCCTGGCAGTTTGTAGCACGTCGTGCAGCCGTGTGTACGTACGTGAATTTTCAATATAAAACTTTGAATGAAAATTATATTCGTCTATTATAAATAAAAAGTTACGATTCAACAAACCGGTATCGTAGGTCCAACACTGCACAAAAGTGCTGGCAACATTATTTGTAAATTTGACATTTGCATGTGTCAATTTAGTCTACGAGATTAAAAAACAGGCTATAGTGGATAGTAATCTCAGGATCACTGGCCTAGCCTGACTCTGGCCTAGCTCGAACTTAGCAGTCAGCACCTAAGTTCGAGCTAGGCCAGAGTCAGGTTTCGATTCTCACCCAGTAAAAAATTTTTGTGACGAACAATATCGTGTGTGATATCCGTGTGGTGATAGATTAAGAATACGGAGTGTCACCACCCCTATTCATCTCGTGGGTGTCGTAATAACCGACCAAGGGAACAAACTACCCAAGACAACAGCACTGCAAAGTGAAAGAAAACTTGACACAAATCTTAAACCAACCCGTCTGGTCATATATATATATATATAGGTGGTATGGTATAGAAGGCGAAAATCCCCTTTCTATGGAGAGGCCTATGTCTAGCAGTGGATTATTAAAGGCTGTTGGTGTGATGTGATGTGTAATGAGCACGATCATTTGTTCTGTGTCTGAGTGTTATTTATATATAGTGTAATAATAATATTTCGACATCTAACACACAACGCCATCTAGTTTCAAACTAAGCAGAGCTTGTACTATGAAAGCTAGATCGACTGAGAATACTTGTATACTTTTTTTTGTAAATACATAAAAATAAACACCTAAACTCCGAAACAAATATTTGCAGTTACAAATATTAAGGTTATTACGAGATATTTGTATAATAAATAAAATTTTAAAGTTAAAAATAATTTAGTGTTCATTAGAACACAAAAATTCATCCTCCCTCCTACACTGCTGTGCCCGACAGGGTCCATAACGCACTGGACAAAAAACCTTCTTAAAAAAAGCTGAACCGACTTCAAACAATACTAACAAAGAGCACTAAAAACCTAGCAGCAATCATGGTTGACTGCTGTCATTTTTTGAAGAGTTCCGTTGACTGTCTCCGAAACTCATCACCAGATCCATATGAAATTTAAATGGGACCATTTTGGAATAAACCCCTTTAGAACAAAAAAAAACCGTCTATTTATGACGGAGTTATGCCCGAACATACCAAAAAAAACGACAGGTTGCACTCCGGGAGTGCCGGCAGAAGTGAAAACTTGAATATTAACGTTGTGCATTTTTGATATTTTGGAATGGTTAGGGAATAATTTTGCACGAATTGCTTTAATTATCAGTATAAAAGTACTATCATTTATGTGGTAGAATACAATATTTATTTATTGCGCTATCGTACACAAACATGACAATTTATCGGGACGCTGTCACCATCCATACATGCGCGTGGCACGCTGTAACAAAACACACACGAACATACGCGCAAGCGCCCTGCGCCGCCTAAACGAAACAGTCTTACGAATTTTCGATCAGGTCACGTGTCCTGACGCGAGTTTAACATTTTTTACCCATTACAAAAAAGTGTACAACGCCGCTAAAGAAGTTTTCACTTCAAAAACATCCGAATGGATAACCTCCTCCTTTTGAAATCGGTAAAAAACCCAATGTAACGTTACTGTAACGTTATGGTGTGCAATAAAGTATTGAGTATTGACAGTCTGGTTACAGGCCTAGTTTAGACGATCATGTGTGAGGTTATTGTTATGACGACTGAATGAATATTAATAAATTTACGCTCCAAGATATTTTATACCTTTTAAACAATCGTGTTATATATTTTATACCATGACAAATAGTCAACGACGCCGACAATATTTTAACCTGGAGGTCAATTCTTGTAATAAATATTCCATCAAAATTGAGTTCCGATGTACTCTCGATCTCATAACTGTCATAAAAAGTAATTTCGTAGTAAAATATTACTAAGACTAGCAGATCCAATTCAACTTTCGGTCATAATAAGATATAATCACAAAACAGTCAACTTTGGATGCTTAAAACTTTCTACTACGAAAATACTTTTTATAACTGAATTTCAAACGATTTCTTTTACGAATTGACCCTCTGTTAATAGCCCCGGCGGTTTAGACTCTGCGTTGATGAATCAGTCAGTAAGACAGGACAGTTAATTTCGTTTGTATAGATTACTTTATTGTCTCATCATCATCATCATCAACAACAGCCTTTACTAGTCCACTGCTGGACATAGGCCTCTCCTTAGGAAGGAGGTTTTGGCCTACTATACCACGCTGGCCAGACGGGTTGGTATAGGGTTTGTTTCAAGTTTTCCTTCTCTCTGCAGTCCTGCGTAGTTTGCTTCCTTAGTCGCCTCTTACGACACCCACGGGATGAATAGGGGTAGTGACACTCTGTATTCTTAATCCGTCACCACACGGATCACATGACCCTCTGAGTTAGTTTTTATTTAAGTATGTTTTGTTTCACGATCCTCTTAGATTGTGGTTAGTGAACCTTACAGCCTAGCTAGAGGTTACATAAATCAACAATACAGCATGTTGTTGAGTTTGTTTAGCGAATTTCAAAATTGTAAGTTTGTTGAAAGTCTCGGGTCATTTGAAAAAGTTCCGGGACTTAGAGACATGAGACGTTCCGGGACTCAAATCCTAATTGTGACTAATGTTACTAGTTTTCTTGGAGTCCAATAAGTAATCGTAATCTGAATGCTTGTTGTCCTATATAGTGATGTCATCAATAACAGTAATTATTCTTATTTTTAATAGATTTACATATATCTAGCGTTTCTTTTTTGTGTTTAACACTTGACGGAACCGGTTTTTTCATTTTTAGTATTTTTCCTCCTTTGTATGTCGAATCAATTTAAGTACTATTTATTCATAAATATTTTTTGCCTTTGATTTGATTGTGATGGATTAAGAATACGGAGTGTCACCACTCCTAATTCATCCCGTGGATGTCGTAAGAGCCGACCAAGGGAGTAAACTAAGCAGGACAACAGCACTTCAAAGACAAGGAAAACTTGAAATAGGGTTTAATTCAAGTTTTCCTTATTTTTGACAATTCGTCTAGCCAGCGTTGTATATTAGGCCAAAACCTTTCTCAGAAGAGGCCTATATCCAGCAATGGACTACTAAAGGCTGTTGATGATGATGATGAATATTTGCCCGCTACAGCGTTCTATTTGATGTAGATTCAATATCACTTAAAGACAGTTGTAGATGTCCGTTGTAGCTTTTGTCCGTTTCTGTACTTAGTACTCTGACAACGGGTATTTTGTTTTCTTATGAAATAAAATGAACAGACGAGTTTCCTGATGGTACGTGAATACAGCCAGCTATAGACATTTACACCCTTTGAGTGATTGAAGAATTTAGGAATCTGAAACAAACTTCGCCCGCGGTAAGGCGTCGGCCTAGGCCCTTAGGGATAAAATTAACAAAAATCCTTACTTGGTGGGCGCTTACAACATAAAAAGCATCATCTGCCAGAATTTAGTATTTGTAGCGCCAGAGGTTAAGCTCTGCGTTGATGAGTCAGTCAGTTAGTCAAAGCTAGTGATTTTTTTATATATAACTAGCTGACCTGGCAAACGTTGTTTTGCCATAAACATTATTTCTAAAAAATATTGAAAAAAAAAAATTAGGGGTGGGTGACCCTTGACTTCCTTTCTAGGGTATACCTGGTTCCTCGGCTATTAGTACCCGAGACGACGTGCAGTTTTAGTTGGTTCGAGTCCGACATGCCACCGATCGGATAGATTTCCGCACGGAAAAAAAAGGGGGTGGGTCACCCTTGTTATTTAGGGATATGAAAAATAGATGTTGGCCGATTCTCAGACCTACCCGATGTGCACACAAAATTTCATGAGAATCTGTCAAGCCGTTTCGGAGAAGTACGGGAACGAACATTGTGACACGAGAATTTTATATATAAGATTATTTGTAACTCGTTCAATGCAAATTAGAGTGTATATATGAATATATATTTTTCAACTAATTGTATCGAGTCATCATAATCTGAAGACCAATACCTGTAGTATAGTCAAAATTCAGTTCCAATCAACTCTCGATCTCCCAACTGTCTTAAAAGATATTGTCGTAGTAAAATAGTAAAATATTACTAAGATTAGCAGATTACCGATTCAACTTACTACGAAAATAGATTTTAATGACAGTTTTGAGATCGACAGTAGATCGAAACTGGAAATTGTGACTGAATTTTTATTACGAGAATTGGCCTTCAGGAGTCAATGAACAACAGCCAATCAAAACATAACTTAAAGTAATTTAAGAAGTCAACAGCGTAAAAACAAATAATAACAGAGAAAAAACTTACCTAGACTTAAAATAAACGGAAAAATACACATTTTAAGTATAAATAAATTCACTAAAGATATTAACACTATTATATTTGACTTCAGACATGGCTATTGCGTTGCATGTCGATATTTTTAACATACACGTTCTATAGCGCTGTTGTTTTTGGCACACTCAGTTAGTTTACGTGTGTTAGTCCACTCACAAAACTGGTATTTTCCTGTACAAAGATATATAAACTATAGATGATACAAATGATCGCAGTGTGAATCTTTCAAAAATATTAAGAAATTTTGTTTTGTTTTACAATAATAATAACTTTTGTTATGCAATACTAATTTTGCCCGAGGTTCCGTCCGCATGTATGTCGGTTATCGCGGCATAAAGTACGTCCTTCCTCGAGAATTAAACTATCTCCATACTAAATTACATCTAAATCGGTTCAGCGATTATTGATTAAGCATACAAACTTCACTTAGGTCACCGACATAGCCTACCGGATCAGCAAGCTGAAGTGGCAGTGGGCTGGCCATATTAGCCTCAGAACCGAAAACCGTTGGGGAAAACGAGTTCTTGAGTAGAGACCGCGTCTCGGTAAACGTAGTGTAGGACGCCCACAGGCCAGGTGGAGTGACGATTTGCGCAAGATGGCTGGCAGGAGCTGGATGCGAGAAGCCCAAAATCGATCTAAGTGGCGTGCAATGGGAGAGGCCTATGTCCAGCAGTGGACTGCGATAGGCTGATGATGATGATGATACAAACTTCCACCCCCTTTTCACCACTTTAAGGACGATTTTTTTCTATAATTACATCGGAATCAGTTCAGGGGTTTAAGCTTGAAAAGGTAACAGACAAATAGACAGACAAAAAGGCACACATATCATATTAATATGGCATAGGGGCAAAACAGTAGATAATTCACCTGACAGTAAGTAACTACCGCACCGCATGGACACCCATTTTGTGCCAACTACAATAGTTGCTTAACACCAGTTTTGTGTGAGGCCGTGGCATCACTCCGGCCGAACCGACCCATTGCTTTTTGACAGCCTTTCAAAGTCCAGTGCAAGGCATCGGCCTCTCCTTCTAAATCTCTGATCGGCCTTAGAAAGAAGGTTTTGGCTAACTGTACCACGCTGGCCAGACGGGTTGGTACCTATATTGTTTCAAGCTTTCCTTCTCTTTGCAGTGCTGGTGTCCTGCGTAGTTTGCTCGATACTGCTACTGCATTACCTTAATTGTACATTTTTTTGCTGTTCAACCGTTTAAGAATCAAGAATCAATTCTTAATGCTCCCGGTTTTTCATCTAAGTTTTTTTTCTATGAATGTTAATACTATCCTATACTATAATACCTTGTTAGATGGCTGACAATACGTACATATTTTTAACAAATCAGCAACTTAATTGTCAGGTCAGTTTTTTTTTAATTATTCGTCAAAGAAAAACAAATTTGCAAATTTATTTATTTTTGCTATTACCATCTACTTCGGTCCTGTGTGTTCAGTTAACTACAGTTTTGTTAATGTTAAGTATAAAATAATGTATTAACTACACAAAAATATTAAAAAAAGAAAGAAATTAAGGATTTAAGTTTTAAAAAATTGAGTTAGTTAAATTTTCGATAATTTTTATACAAAATATTAAAAGTCCAGTATCTAGAAAATGGTTAGGTTTGGGATATTGTATTTCATAGTGAAATCTATTCATAGTAATGGCTACTAAAACCCGTAAAGTATCTAGGTCGACTTAACCAGTAACCCTGTAAATATTTATATATTTATAGGATTTATAGGATTTGTTTCAAGAGCCGGGGGCCGAACTTCCAAGTAGCGTCGAATCTGGCCACCAGAGGAGTCTCTCTGTTGGTTGGGCGCATTGAGGCGCTGGGCTTACGGGTGGCCTTGGAGAAGACGGAGGCCCTCTTGTTTCATGGGCCCCGTCGTGGTCCTCCTCCTGGCACTTCAATCGTGGTCAACTCGGTCCTCGTACCGGTTCAGGCCCAGATGAAATATCTGGGTGAAATATTCTCAACGGGAGGTGACTCTTCGACGAGCACTTCCGGACAGCTGGCTCCAAAGCTGGTCGGCGCTGCGTCTGCATTTGGGCGATTTTTGCCCAATTTGGGTGGTCCCAGCGTAGCAACGAGACGGCTGTACACGAGGGTTGTCCGGTCAATGGCACTGTACGGTGCACTGGTGTGGGCGGTGGCTCTGACCGCTCAGAATAGGGCACGCCTCTGACGCCCTCAGAATATATTATATACGTAGTACGGGACCCTTTCCTTCCGACTGACGTAGGTCCTTACCGGGCATTGCTACTTCGTGAAGTACCTGCACTCGGTCGCTAGGTGGTAATTGATTCCCGGCTGTCATCACTGCGATTGCAGTGAGGACTCGGCTCAGCACACGCGGGCAATTTGCCCGGCTTGGGTCCTCATTGCAGTCATCGGGGGTAATCTCTTGCTACCGGCCATCATACGCTCCATGGCCGGTAGTGACAGATGTTTCGCCGCGGTCGCATCCTTCTGCGAAGACGTCATCTCGAGAGGGCCCGGGAGGACAACCTCCACTCGGACCCAATTCGCCGCCGGCGAACCGGGCGGCGGAGACGCGCTTACCACCGCCTCATACCGCCCTGAGTGTGGCCGCAGCCGGACGGGACGGGTTTTCCCCTCCACCCGCTATAACGGCCAGCCGCGAGGAGGCTACGTCCGCGTGTGCCGGATGTCGCCTAAATAGAGAATGTACCCGAAGATGGTGCCCGCGCCGTTGCGGGCAGGCGCTAGGAGGGGTTCGGATGTCTTAATAACAGCAGTTCCCGGATCTCTCCTATCACAGTCGTAGAGTGGCACACCGTGTGGTTTTAGTCGGTCCGATTCCGACACACCACCCTGCCGCAAACCCCGGCGGGGTGACGGCCCGAGGAGTTTCCACATGTAAAAAAAAAAAAGGATTTGTTTCAAGATTTTCTTATTTTTGCAGTGCTGTTGTCCTGTGCAGTTTGTTCCCTTAGTTGGCTCTTACGACACCCACGCGATGAATAGGGGTGGTGACATTCCGTATTCTTAATCCATCACCACACGGATAGGGAATTTTCTATTACCAAATCACAATTCGCATTCGATGTCTAGTACGAGTACAAACGACCATTAGGTGATCTGAAGGCCTAGTATAAGTTTAGTGTACATCAACTCGCTCTTCACGGCGACAGTGAAGAGGAGTGCGGGCCAAACGCAACGCCAAACGCGGTCACAACAAATTTTAATTTAAGCCTTTCAAGTAATAGTGTACATGAGGTACTTGGCTCAGTCCTTCTTTTAAATGTAACGTTGCCGTGTTACTTAATATTGTGTGTAGTGTATATGCTTTATACAGAAATTGGTCATCACTTAAGTTTATTTACCTACAAGCTGGTACCCGCGACTTCGTTCGAATTTGAAAAGTGCTGCCTTAGTGGGTTCGATCCCTGGACCAGGCAAAAATTTTAAGGGTTTTTCTAAGAGGAAAAATAGTCTTAATTACTCCTTATATAGATAGCTACCTGGTTATAAAATATTATCAGAATCGGTCCAGCCATTTAGAAGATTACCCGAAACAAACAGACAATCATTTCAATATCATCATATCAACAGCCTTTAATAGTCCAGTGCTGGACATAAGCATCTTCTTAGAAAGGAGGTTTTGGCCTACTATACCCTGCTGGCCAGACGGGTTAGTATAGGGTTTGGGGTGCTGGGCTAGAAAACCTCCTCGTGGTGCACCCTGGAAACGCTGGCGATGGTACTGTTCCCTCCTTGTCCTCTTGGAGGAGAGGGATTATCGCCAGCGGCCAATATTCTAGCAGAAGAGGCAGCCGTTCATCGGCTCTCGGGCAAGGCCTGGTCCAGCAGGGTGGGCGTGTCTGCCGGTTGCCCTGCTGGCTCTTCGCTCTTCGGAGCATGGAGGAGGAAACCTCGGTAAAAAACCTGATGGCGGGGCCCTGTAGGGGCCACAGTTTCTCCGCTGACAGCGGTGGAGAAAGGAGGACGGGCTCGGCGTGTACTCACACTACCACCGAGCAGGCAGGGGGACGTAGTCTCCCTGTCAACCGTCGGCATATCGTAATCCCGAGAAGAGCGCTGTGGTTAAGTCTCGCGGCTCTGATCGGGGGCGAGGGTCTTGGCTTAACCGCCCGGACCGCGAGGAAGATAACCTCTCTAAAAAATTCCCCGAATCTGATGGGAAGTTCAGTCGCGAGCGCACTCCAAGCCGAGGTACCTGCGGACCCCTCGGTTGGGTTAAAAACTTACGCTTGCCCGGGTAATGGGGGATCTCTGCCCGGGTGGACCTTTAGTTCTCCCCCACTCGTGGGATTTATTATGGAGCATATCAATAAAAACATACAGAAACGGCAACCAACACAAAAACAGAAACAGGCAAGCAAAACGGACTCTGAAACTAAGGAGAAGAGGAAAAGTGGAGTGGATGGGTCATCCACGGAGGGTGAGATAGCGTCGGGAACGCCTATCTCGATGGGGCTCCCAGAAGTCAGTCTGACGCTGGTCTCTGGGAGCCGAAGAGCATCAGATCGGCTGCGCTCCGGATCCGCCGTTTCGTCGGATGGCGCTGACGCCATGGAGGCGGAGCGAAGCGACAGCCGGAAACGAGGACGCTCCAGGGACGAGGAAACCGACACGTCCCAGGAGATGATGCCACCGAAGGTGGCAAGCAGCCGCCGAGGGAGGGCACGCAAACCTGCCTCGGCCCCGGTCTCGACCCCGTCAGGCTCCGCGTTCTCAAACGCGGAGTCGTACAGGAACGTACGGGTGGACGGCGAGGCCGTAGCGGAGGAGGAGATCGCGGATCTCCTGCTCAAGGTTCGGGAGCCGGTGGGGGGAAATGCCCCCCAGGCTCCCGTGTCCGTGCAGGAGAGGGCGAAAGCGGCGGTGGCCGTCATTCACAAGGTGGCCACCAAGTCCGTGAACCTTAAGGGCTCGTTTGTGAGGGCCCTTAAGGACTCCTCCTCCGCTTTGTCGGAGGTCGTGGAGGGCCTAGCGGGCGACGTCTCTC